CTCTCTGACAAATAAACAAATAAAAAATCTTTTTTTTTTTAATTTATTTATTTACTTGACAAAGGGAGAGCGATCATAAGTAGGCAGAGCAGCAGGCAGAGAGAGGAGGGAAGCAGGCTCCCTATCCCGAGCAGAGAGCCTGATGTGGGGCTCGATCCTAGGACCCTGAGATCATGACCTGGGCCAAAGGCAGAGGCTTAACCCACTAAGCCACGTAGACGCCCCCAAATAAAAAAATCTTTAAAAAACATTAAATATATACAAGTATCAAATCATTATGTTGTATATCTGAAACTAGTATATGTCAGTTTTACTTCAATAAAAAGGTTATTAACAAGTGGTCAACAGATGAACCATGATTCAATTTTCAATCCTTCCCCAGCTGTGTTCAAGTTATATGAGAAATTGCTTGTTTATAACGCTTCCTTATCATTGGTCTGGAGTTCACTAGGATATAAACACTGGAGCTCCCATATGTCAGGTGGATAAAGGAATAAGAGATAAAGGAAAATAATCTTCACTATACATTTCTCAGTTGTCACCAATTATCACCGTAAGACACATTCTTATTACTTTTGAAATTACTTCTTAACCTCTGAATCTGAGATCTAAGAATGTCTCTTCACAAGTTTTGGCATGCCAGCATGCCTTTTTAAAAACATGGCCTAGGAATGGCTGGGTGGCTCAGTCAGTTAAGCCTGTGACTTTTGGTTTCAGCTCAGGTCATGTTCTCAAGGGTTGTGGGATGGAGCCCTACATCAGGTTTTGAGCTCAGTGCAGAGTCTGCTTGAGAATCTGCCTCTCCCTCTGCCCCTCCCATCTCAACGAGCTCTAAAATAAGTAAATAAATCTTAAAAACAAAAACAAAAACAAAAAACAACAGGGTCTAACAACGCAGTATTATATACTGAAAAGTGTTAAAGGAATCATGTGAGTGCACAGATATGTTAACTACAGTTAACTACATAGTAATCACTTCCTATAGCCATAGGTTTATCAAGAACTTAAACTTATAATCAATGTTATATGTCAATTATATCTCAAAGATGGAAAAATTTAAAACATGGAAATTACATGAAACTATGCCAAAATAAGAATAAAGACTCACAAAGTAGGACAGTCAAGTAAGACGGGCTTACAAATGTGCTCTATGTGAAAATAACCAAAAAGCCTCCAAAAATAGCAAAAAAGGAGAAGGGTCAGGAAACAAAGAATTCATCAAAACTAAAGCTAAGGCTGGGGGACCAATGAAAGGACCCTGGTGGTTGACACAGATTACCTTGGTCAAGAATGTTATTTGTGAGAAGTACGGAAAATTCTGTCACCCCCCAATACAAAGGCAGCAAAAATTATGGAAGGTCTCCTCCGTGTGAAGCCCTTTCCTAAGCACAGACAAAGAGCACTCGGAAGCGGAAATACTGAGACTGGGGTCAAAACAGCAGGGCCATTGCTAACTAGTTTTCCCTGAAGGCTTACCACACACCCAACTAGTTTTCCCTGAATTACCACACAGACCCCTTTGATACACACACACACACACACACACACACACACACACACACACACCCCACCACCACCACCACCACCCCCCATCCCGAAGAAGTGAGATCCCGAATCACACCAGTAGCAGCTAGCATGTTGGGAGAGCTGCGGCAAACAAGTGTCACTTGTTTGTTACAAGTCACAAGTGTTTGTGTTTGCTGCAAGTGTAACTTGACTTCACCAGACTTTCAGGGAGTCCTCGAACTGAAAAGTGCCCCACCAGAGCATGCTAAACCCTAGCGTTCTCCTTACTAATAGGATTTAGCTGGGCTCATGGCTCCTCAACTATGGAGCAGTTTCCAGCCTCTTTTTCTGTCAAATGCGGCCACACAGCACTAGTTGTGTGAGTGGAAGTGATGTGTGCAACTTCTGTGTCACTTGCTCGTAAAGAAATTTGTTGTTTGCCTCCTTTTCCACGGTCTACTTTCTCTAGCAGCCTAGAAGTACCCTACAATATTAAAACATATAATTATCAAAATTAAAGCAGTATACTGATGGCACATTAGATCAATAAATAAGCAAAAGATAATAGTAATTGGAGGGGATCCTCTGCAAGATACCTTAAATACACTGAGGCTTCAAAAATACATTTTTAAGCAGGAACAGCCCCTGTTCCATCTGTGGTTAACTTCGCATCTGAAACAGTGGGAACACGTGGATTATTCAGCAAATGGGACTGAGCAATGACTAACCAAATGGGGAAAGCAGGTCAAGCTGCAGGCCTGCTCTCAAATTACTCCAAAATAAAGTCCAATTTGGTCTAAATTTTCAGAGTTTAAAAAAAAAAAAAAAGATAAACACAGGAGCACCAGAGGACATTAATAAATAACAGTATCTTTATATTCTTAGAGGTGTGGAAGAACATTTGAAGAATGAAAGGCAAGCAACTAGCCATTCTCTCCACGTGACTCTCTGACATCCCTCCTATGGATATGGTTACCTCACTCTTAAGTTTAACAAAGTGGAAAACCAAAATAGGAATCCAAAAAGATGGAGCAATGTGGTCACTCAATCTCTCAGCCAAGAGTAAGCCCCAATTTGGGGATGGGCAACCCTTTGTGCCCATGAACAACTTATGTGTCTACTTCCCCAGTGCCCAGCACAGCCAGCCCCAAATACTGAGCCTCAGATATTACCCCAAACCTGGTCTTCAAACAAACAACAAAAACAGTATCAAAGAATCCAGAAGCTGTTAGAACATTAAGGAAGCTGACTGTGAGTGTCCCCTTCCTGACTTCTAAAAGCAGCCTGCAACACATGAATTTGAGACACAAAGGATGCCCCATTCTTCCCATGTTACTCCACCAAAGAGTATTTTCCGGAACATGGGCCACTAGAATAAGTGGTTATCTTAACAGTAATCTTAAGGTTATTTTCTTCACCAGTTCTGACTCAAGAAATTGACCTTGACATTAAGCCAACTTCATAGATCAACTGTCACTTCAAAAAAACAAGAAAAACCTTGAGTAAAGGTTAAATGGCAAGTGTTTTCCAAATCACCCTCAAATGAAACAAATCATGTTACTATAATAAGGAATACTGCAATCAACACATTTCATGAGCCAAAAAGGTATTCTTAGAGATAAGTACACTGGACCCAAGATCAACTGAATATAACTGTCAAAGGTTTTGGTCTTGGTGTGTGTGTCTGACAAAGGACAGACCAAAAAAAAAAATGCAAATGTTAATCTAATCTATGCAACAATCCTGAAGTAAAATACGGTGGTGCTTTTATAGATGGGAAAGTAGGCCATAGGTGAGTCTTCTAAGATGAGGTTAGTAAGCAGCTGAATCATAACTCAATTCCTGGTCTTTTGACTCCCGAGAAGAGAGGCCCTCCGTTCCATCCTACAGCACCCTCAGTGGTCACTTTGTAACATATGAAGACTAAGCACTAGATACACAACTGTTACTAGGTAAGAAACCATTATCCTGGGACAGTAGCAAGGGAAAAGACTTTTATTAATGGCATCTTTTTCTGAGAATTTTTTTCATATCCTACCTAGAAGAAACTTGCTCCATCACCAAAGGCATAAAGCTTTATGATTAAAAAAATGGCACGTATAAAGTACAGTTCAAATCTCTCTCCTACAGTAAAATATTGGTATGTATCAGCTGAAAACTTCTCTTTTCTACCCTAAATGCGTATGCCGCTACAGTGAGCCACATGGTAAGATGACTTATGTGGGTAAACGATCACCTGAGAAAAATAGTTTCTCAAAGTCCTTGGTTTCTCTGGGGCATAGGGCATCCGTCCCTCTGGCAGAGATTGTCAAGGGCTCCCTCTCCTTCCTGAGTCAGAGAACTGAGTGCCCGGCCCTGTGGGGAAAACTCTGTATTTTCCAATCCCCTTTGTAGTTAAGTATGACCATGTGACAAACTTCTGAAACACGAGAAGCAAAGCTGAGATGAAACTCTAGTTTGTTTCCTTAAAGGAAGGGGACACACTATTCTTTGCCCTTCTTCCTTCCCACTGGCTGAAAACGTGGGCAAAATGGACTGTGCTCAAGTAGCCATTTTGTACACTGAGGTTTACATCACGCTCCGTAGATGAAGCAACAAGATAGGAGGCTGGCTCTTGGAAGATGGTGGCCACCAGATGAGCACCCTTCCCTAGACTATCCACCTCCAATTCTGTTTACAGAAATAACCTAACTTGGTTAAGCCGCTATACATTGGACAGAATGTAATTCTAACAGATATAGCACCCACGATTCTTACTACCTTGCAACATTCAAGCATCTCTATTCTCTCAAAAGATGGCATCAAATTATCAAATTTTTCATTTCCTTTAAATCCAAAAATAAGTGTTTTCCAAAAGCACACGTATCAAGAATGGGGGTGGGTGGCTCTGTTGCAAAATTATATTGCATCAAAAATCCCCACCTCATCCACGCTCCAAAAACCTTATCCATATCCTTTTCATAACATGTGAAACACTGTACTTTAACTATTTGTTTGGGAATTTGCCAAGACCACCACACCCCTCTCTCTCTGCCAACTAGATTAGAAACTCTCTAGTTCAGTCAAAGCCCTAATGCCTAGCATCATGCCAGGCACAGTACAGACACTCAGAAAACATCTGTGTGATAAAAGAACATGTCAAAGACTGCCCTTCATAATGGGGATCCCAGTCATGATTTGAAATCCTCTCCAAGTACTAGTTAGATAGGATAAGGAGTTTTGAGTTCACTCTAGTGGCTCCCAACCACAGACAGTGTTTAGGAATGACAGATCTCTGGAACCTGCCTGCCCCCAAAAATCACTGAATGAGATCACCTGGGATGGATTCTAGACACATGTAGTGTACACAAATAAGACCTTCATAGTTTAGGTAACAACTAACATTTTCAAGGAAGAAGGAGGAGAACAGAATAGTAACTTTAAAATCCTATGGGTTTTGATTTCTGCATAGGGGATAGAGGGAAATGCTGTTCTCTGGAGTCAGAGTGAAAAACTGCCTATTGTCTTTTATCAATGGGAGTTCTGCTCCTATAAAATACTGTGACCTTTCTGTGTATTTGTCTAAATACAGCCCAACTTCTACTTTTCCCAGTCTCTCCCCCTTTTTTTTTTTTTACATTACCAAACCACTCTGTTTTGTCAAAGTGTTTTTAAATCCCTCCTTATATCCTTCATTTACAACATGTATTCCTAAAATAAAAATGCTAATAAGGAACATTTAGTTCCCCTGGAATTGTTAAAATTTTAAGATTTTTCACTTTAAGACTTCACCCTACAATTCAAAGCAATGTTACTAAAATTCATTTTTTCTTAATATTCAAAATTTCATCAATTATTAGTTACCACTCTCAAAACCCTACACTTATAATAAATGCCAGCTTTGAAGTGTTTTGTAAAGGCATATTTTATTTTACCCATGTAACTGTAATCAGTTTCGTCAATGTTGTCTATAGTCATTTAACATTTTACTGGACTTCTTACAGGTTCAGAAAGCTGTTATGGTCTTTTCTCTACTGCAGGCTATCTGGGGTAGTGCTTTAAGGTAGATCTTATAGGAAGTTACAGTGTTTCTCTTGGAAAACTTAACAAATATTATAATAACACAATTAAGAATTATCAGGCTAAACAGGTAGACACTGGTCTTTCGGAGCAAGCCTTCCTTTTGGGTTAGCAATACTAGTTAGAAACTACCCAGTTCCATCAGTAATAAGAGAGTCTTCAAACTTTGAATTATTGGTGATACTTAATACTATCAATGATACTCAAAAGCCTCCCAATCCTTAATTATTCTATTCAAAATAAGGCTGTAAGAAATGCAAATCAAAACCACAATGAGATTACCTCATACCAGTCAGAATAGCTAGTATCAAAATGACAAAAAGTAACAAGTGTTAGTGTGAATGTGGAGAATGGGGAACTCTCATGCACTGTTGGGGTTAATGTAAATGGTGCAGCCACTGAAAAACAGTATAGCGATTCCTCAAAAAATTAAAAATAGAACTACCATATTATCCAGTAATGCCACTACTGGGTATTTACTCAAAGAACACAAACACACTAGTTTGGAAAGATACATGTTCCCCCATGTTTATCACAGCATTTATAATAGCCAAGATATGGAAGGAATCCAAGCATCTATTCAGAGACGAAGAAAATTTGGTTAATACATACTACAATATTACTCATCCATAAGAAAAAAGTAATCTTGCCATTTGCAACAAACATGAATGTACCTAGAGGGTATTATGCTAAGTGAAGTAAGTAAGAGAAAGACAAATGCCATGATTTCACTTGAGTCTAAAAAAAGAGCAAACCAAAACAGTCTCTGAGGTTGTCAGAGGAGAGGCAGGTGGGAGGGATGGGAGAAATAAATAAAGGGGATTAAGAGATACAAAATTCCAGTCATAAAATAAGTCATGCAGATAAAGACTATAGCATAGGAGTACAGTCAGTAATATTGTAATAACACTGTATGGTGACTACACTTATCATGGTGAACATTGAGTAATATACAGAATTGTTGAATCACTATGTTGTACACGTGAAACTAATATAACACTGCATGTTAATTATACCTCAATAAAAATTTTTTTTAACAATAAGCCTGCAAAACTGCAACCATGTCTGGCAATCTAAATATAATTCATTCAGGGGCGCCTGGATGGCTCAGTGGGTTAAAGCCTCTGCCCTCAGCTCAGGTCATGATCCCAGGGTCCTGGGATCGAGCCCCACATGCGGTCCTCTGCTCAGCAGGGAGCCTGCTTCCTCCTCTCTGCCTCCTTGTGATCTCTGTCAAATATATAAAAGATTTTATAATATATATTTATATTATATATAATTCATTCAATGGTTTTATTAATTTAAAAAACTCTACATTATTCAGAATCAAAAAAATGAACCACTCTAGATATTTAGACACTCTTTCTAAGTGTATTTTACTTGGCTTTATTTCTTCATGTATAGAATGAAGATAACTACACTTACATCACAGGTTAGTTTTTTCCAAGGTCTTTTTTTTTTTTTTTTTAAATTCCTGACCCTCCAACCAGCCCTCTCCAGACTAATTTTTCAATTGAGATATAATTATCACAGTGTTATGTTAGTTTTAGGTGTATAATGATTCAACAATTCTACACATTACTCAGTGATCAAGTGTACTCTTGGTTTCTTTTATCGACTTCATTCTTCCCCCCACTTATCCCCTCCCAACAACCAGTTTCTTCTCTATTCAAGAGTCTGTTTTGTCTTTGCTTCGTTTCTCAAATTTTACATGTAAGCGAAATTATACGTATTTGTCTTTCTCTGACTTATTTCACTTAGCATTATACCTTCTAGGGTCCACTCATGTTACAAATGGCAAGACTGCATTTTTTATTGCTGAGTAATATTCCATTGTGTGTATATACACAGCACATCTTTATCTACTGATGGTTATTTGGGTTGCTTCCAGATCTTGGCTCTTCTAAATAATGCTGTGATAAACATGGGGTGCATAGGTCTTTTTGAATTACTATGTTCATTTTCTTTGGGTAAGTACCCAGTAGTGGAATTAATGGGTCATATGATAGCTCTTTTAATTTTCTGAGAAGCCTCTGTATTAGTTTCCCACAGTGGCTGCTCCAATTTACATTCCCACCAACAGTGCACAAGGGTTCCTTTTTCTCCATATCCTTGACAATACTTGTTATTTCTTGTGGTTTTAATTTTAGCCATTCTTCCTAATACGAAGTGAGAGCCCACTGTGGTTTTGATTTGCATTCCCCTGTTCATCAGTAATGTTGAACATCAGTAAAAATGTCCACACTCCCCAAAGCAATCTGCAGATTTAATGTAATCCCCATCAAAACACCAGTATTTTTCACGGAACTAGAACAATAAATTTTTAAGAAATCACAAAAGATCAGGACTAGTCAAAGCTGTCTTGAGAAAACGGAACAAAGCTGGAGGTATCTCAATCCCAAATTTCAAGATGTACCCCAAAGCTTTCATCATAAAGGCAGTATGGCAGACACACAGATCAAAGAACAGAGTAGAGTCCAGAAGTAAACCCATGTTTATATGGTCAATTAATCTACAACAAAGGAGGCAAGAATATCCAATGGGGAAAAGAGAGTCTTTAACAAAATGGTGCTGGGAAAGCTAGACCAGTTACATGCAAAAGAATGAAACGGGACCATTGCCTTTCACCATAAACATAGACTCAAAATGGACTAAAGACCTAAATGTGAGAACTGAAACCACAAAACCCCTAGAAGGAAATATAGGCAGTCATTTACTTGACATTAGTTGTAGAAACCTTTTTCTACAAACGTCTCCTCTGGCAAGGGAAACAAAAACAAAGCTGTTGGGACTATACCAAAATAAAAAGCTTTTGCACAGTGCAGGAAACCAACAAAAAGGTAACCTACTGAATGGGAGAATATATTTGCAAATGATACATCCAGTAAGGGTTAATATCCAAAATATGTAAAGAACTTCAACTCAACACCAAACAAAGAAAAAAAATTGAAAATGGGCAGAGGACCTGAATAGACATTTTTCTAAAAATGGCATACAGGGGCACCTGGGAGACTCAGTGGGTTAAAGCCTCTGCCTTCGGCTCAGGTCATGATCCCAGAGTCCTGGGATGGAGCCCATCGGGCTCTCTGCTCAGCAGGGAGCCTGCTTCCTCCTCTCTCTCTGCCTGCCTCTCTGCCTACTTGTGACCTCTGTCAAATAAATAAAAAATATCTTTAAAAAAAAAAAAGATGGCATACAAACTACCAACAGACACATGAAAAGATACTCAGAATTACATGATTTTTTAAGTATGCTTCTCAAAGAATTATCTCCCAAATGGCAGGATAATTGTATTATATAATCTGCTGCCTTCTTTAGTACATTACCAACTTGGCCTCATCCCAATATACATGAGTGCACGTGCACACACAAGCACACACACACAACTTTTGCAACCCAGCACTTACAAACAGAACCGTCTTTTGCCTGGACCTTATATTCTTTCCTGTAACCATTTTCTATAACATATGTATTCTGAAAGGTGAAACTGAATTACCTCAACTATTATCTTGAACTGTGTTCTGTTTGTTATTGGATGTACACCATTTCCTAAAACTGAACAGGCTCACAGCCAAAGATACATTCCTCAAATATGAATTTCCAGTCCCCCACCTCTCATCTTTCTATCAGTCCTCTACCAAGCCCCAAAGGTTGGGGGGTGGGGATAAATCTCTCAAGAAAAAGTTCAGGCTCAGGGTCCACAATAGGAGGACTTCCTTTTGTGATAGCTGGGCCTCCTTCCCTCTTTCCTCTGTCTTCCCTCCTTCCCTCTGTTCTGCATACTGTGGCATGTGCTGCATTCTCAAGGACACTGCAAACCCTGATGGCTGCGACAGGTTCAGAACACCCAGCCAGGTGGTCCCTGCAGGAGTGTGGAGGGGTGTGCCGTGTCACCATGCCCCCACTTCAAGCCTCCAGGTTTTAAAGTACAGAAGGCGGCCAAAGAAAGGTGTGTGGCTTCCTCCTCAGGACTCCACTACCACACAAGGACAGAGTCCTCTACCATCAGCCATGCAGCATAGAGTGCGAACACCCTCCAAACCTCAATGAGAACGCAGCTTTCCATTCCTACCCCCTTCTCCCTTTCCTTCCTCGATTCTCCACCTCCACAGATCCTCCTCGGGGCATGCTTAGACAACTGCACCCAACTCATCTGTCATTTGGGTCTTAGACTCCCTACCCATACTTTGACCAACTGATCTGCTGAGTTTCAGCCAGTGATAAAATAGGTCTCTAGAAATCCAAACTTAGGAAACAGAGGACTTTTTATTATTTTTGGTTTCTTACCAAAGGCATCTTGGACCTTAGAAATGAATGCATTATTTGGTTCTTTAATCAATCAATTCATGAACAGGCTTCAGTCATGTTGTCACAAAAACTAGGAGAACTGAGTGTGAGTCCCAACCTTGCATTAATAAGACCTAGTCCTTGAGCAAGTCAAGAGTCCTTTCAAAGATTTGGCTTCCTTATCTGTGTATTAAAGCTGTTAGGCTTGAAATAGTACTTATCAGGGAAGTAACAGATTTCTTTCAATTCTAAAATTCTATTGAGTTGAAACATTTACTGAACCTGAATCCCTACTGTATGTTAGAAAGGCAGATGGAAGAAGATTTAAAAGATCTGCTCTTGGGGCACCTGGGTGGCTCACTTATTAGGTGTCTGCCTTCAGCTCAGGTCATGATCCCAGGGTCCTGGGATCAAGCCCCACATCAGGCTCCCTGCTCAGCGGGAAGCCTGCTTCTTCCTCTCCCACTCCCCCTGCTTGTGTTCCCTCTCTTGCTCACTGTATCTCTCTCTGTCAAATAATAAATAAAATCTAAAAAAAAGATCTGCTCTTAAGGAACAGACAATCTAACTGGGGAAATACCACAGAAAACTGAGTTCTAAAAGACTTGTTAAATCCAGATAAAGGGCTAAATGATAAAATAATTTTAATAATAGTAACAAGTATTTGGGGAACATATAGGGGAAAATTTTGCAATCTTACATTAAGAAAGGCCTTCTATACCTTGATTTGTTATGCACAACACCACTTCCCCCACCACGTCCCTATGGTTTGGGTAAAGATGAGCCCATCTTCAGCTCCAGAGATGGGCACAGAAGCAGGCCTGGCCAATCACAGCCCCATTCCTTGTGTCACAGCAGCTGGTTCATGGTTGAACACAACCTAAGCCAGAACAATCAAAGGAAATGAAAACCTAGCACATGATTTTTGCTGGAATTATTAGGAACAAGTGTTTTCTTGGAAGGGATTGTGTGAAGTCCAGAGCGCAAATGCAGAGCTTCTGGTAGCCATCTTGTCACCAGGAGAGGAGGCCCTGTCTGAAGATGGAGTCAACACCAAATAAAAGCAGAGCTGAAAAGGGAGGTAAAGCAAGTCACCTCTCGTGACTGTGCCTCTGAACCCAGAAATGCCTGAAGCTACTGTTACCTGTTTCTCAGATCAATTTGTAATCAAGAATTCTAATACATTCTCCTCAGGACTTTCCAATAATGTTAAGATTGTGATCCTCCCAGAAGGGGAAAAAGCTGCCCATACCTTTTTCAATATAATGACTACATAAATGAAGCTTTGGATCCACACATCTAGATGTACACAGTTTTATGAACTCAGAAATCTGAGTACCCCTCACAGTATGAAAAACATCCTCCTTCAAACATGGCTGCAGAGATACTTTTAGTCATTTAATCCTTTTAAGAACAGGCCAAGTATTAACAATGGTAGACTATTACCTGCTCAGGGAAAGGTTCAGAAAGATTTAAAAAAGCAGGTGGCAAGCCAAAGGAGACAATAGGACAACTCACATCTTTAAAACCATTAGTACCATTACATTGTCCTGGTAGTGTCTTGAGAAAATGGGTGTCACAGAATTTTGGAAAATATGCAGTTTAATCTAGACTTAATATTAAGCTAATATTAATATTACATTTAATGCTAATATGTATTGCAGCTAAGAAGCGGAAATTATCCATCCTTCCTTATTCTTCTTACCTGCAGAGAGACGGTTGTCCATAAATTCTTGCTAGCGTAGACATCAATTGAGATTCATAAAAATGGGGGATACTGTAAAGGCTTGACAATAAGTATGCAGTATAAATAGAAAAATACATGGTAACTGAAAGTGTTAACGTTTTCTTATAATACTAAAATTCCATGGCAGTGGTCACTCAACTCTAGTCCCTAGCCCAGATCTGGCCTGCTATTTTTGTAAATAAAGTTTTATTGGACTCCAAGTCCAATAAAAAAATATCCTTTTTTTTCCCTTGTTTTGATTTGTTTTGTCTGGTTGCTTCCACACCCCAACAGCAGGGTTGAAGGATTTCAAGAGACCAGGTAGCCTGCAAAAACTAAAATATTTAGTATCTGGCTCATTTACAGAAAAATCTAAGGTCCTTTGTTCTATGGTCTATGGTTCTAAGTATTTGTCCATCACTGACTATGCTCTAGGCTCTGGAAGTACAATGGGTGGGCCACTGCGGCAACAGAGAGAGAGGAAAAAGAACGCCTCTATGCACAGACACAAAATTTCAAAGGGGATATAATACACACTGGAACCCATGCAAGGCAGGAAATAACCAGAAACCAGATCGCGTTGGAACTAGGGGAGGTTTCAAATTCAAATAC